TTGTAATAAAAATACTTGTTCAATACATGTAGACAGATTCATTTGTGCATTGTCTTTAGGCTTTTCTCCAAGCTTATAGTCTTGGAATTCCCATATAGTTCACTGATATGCACATACAGATACCAGTAATATATATATATATAATTATATATATATGTATATTTGGCAAAGCATTATAGGACAAGGGCCATTGATTGAAATTATGCCTCAATTTTACAAATAAGGGGTGTTTCTTAAAGAATTAGGCATAGAACCAGACCCTCAGCTCCTGACAAGTGTTCTTATGGCTGCTCCAATACCTTCAGAGTGTATGACCCGAAATAGTGCCCCATTATAGCTATACAGTAGTTTTATGAAACTTCATTTAACCCCACCTTCAATCCCAAGCTCTGTGGTATTTGTCTCAGAGACCAGGCAGCACCCCCTCAGAGAGTGAAACTCCTGGGAGGTCATGGGATCTTGATCTCCCAGTTTCTTCACTATCACTGTTACAGCAAACGGTCAGGAATGTGGTGATGTCTGGGGGGAAAGCATGTGCTCTTGACATGTTTCCTTTTTAGAGAGAAGGCAGTAGAATTCTGGCCAGGTGTGTAGCCTCCAGCCCCCCACCTCAGCACTCAGAAATTGGTAATAATTGCACAACAGGGAGCACAGGTGTTATGTTGTAAAGTGCTTATGCAGTAGTATAAAAAAGAAAACGGAATCACTCTGGACAGTTATATGGGGGGCAAGAAAATTGGTTGACTCAGGTTAGTTGGCTAGAGGATGAATTTTTTCACGCTAGTATTCATTTCTCCAAATATTATAGTGTTTGCACAATAAACAATCCCAAACACACAGAGTGCTGGGCGGTTAGATTAGGACAGGAGAGAGAGAGAGAGAGAGAGAGAGAGAGAGAGAGAGAGAGAGAACCAAGATAGATACTAGTAGACTACCCATGGAAAAAATGTTTCTTGGTGACATACAGTGAAACCTTGATGACTGGGAACTTGAAAGCCAGAAATATTTTGACTGGAAGTTTCCCTCATAAGAATGGCAGGTTCATTGCCTGGCTTCTGCGCTGGTGTTAGAGAACAGCTGGCTTATTTCCCAGCAGCTTAGATGGGTTGTTTGGATCAAATACTGTCCAAAAAGCTAAGCTCCATGAGAAATAGGACAGTGTGTGGCATGGGTAGTCTACTAGTATCTATCTTGGTTCCTCCTCTATTTTGAAAAAGAGTGTAAAAATTTCTACGAGTAGATAATATGAAATTGAATAGGAAAAACTCAAATGATTCAATCCCCGTGCTCTTCTGCTTCTCGGTCTTTGCGCGGCCCTCGTCCGTGCCCCACGGCGCCGGCTGCGAGCTGCTCATCCAGAGGTTCCTCAGCCTGTACGGCGACCAGCTCGACATGCACCGCAAATTCGTGGTGCAGCTCTTCGCGGAGGAGTGGGGCCAGTGCGTGGACCTGCCCAGGGGCTTCGCGGTGGGCGAGCGCTGCAGGGTGCGCCTGGTGCCGCTGCAGATCCAGCTCACTACCCTGGGAAATCTTACACCTTCGAGCACCGTGTTTTTCTGCTGTGATATGCACTGGGCTGAGGGACACTCTCCCCCACACACACCCCGGGTATATGAATTTTGCGCATCGGGCCTCTAAAAAATATATATATATATATGTATGTTACTAATTATCTTTGCGGGGTTTTCGTTTGTGTGTGTGGTTTTCTTTCCAGTTGCAAGGGGCCCGGATTTTAGGAATTCCGGTTATTGTAACAGAGCAGTACCCCAAAGGTCTTGGAAGCACTGTTCAAGAAATCGACTTAACGGGTGTAAAACTAGTGCTTCCAAAAACCAAGTTTTCCATGGTGTTACCAGAGGTGGAAGCGGCGTTAGCAGAGATTCCTGGAGTCGGAAGTGTTGTGTTATTTGGAGTAGAAACTCACGTGTGCATCCAACAAACGGCCCTGGAGCTCGTCGGCCGAGGTATTGAGGTTCATATCGTTGCTGACGCCACCTCATCGAGAAGCATGATGGACAGGATGTTTGCTCTCGAGCGTCTTGCTCGAACTGGGATCATAGTGACGACCAGCGAGGCTGTTCTGCTACAGCTGGTGGCGGATAAAGACCATCCGAAGTTCAAGGAAGTCCAGAACCTGATTAAGGCGAGTGCCCCAGAGTCGGGTCTGCTCTCCAAAGTCTAGGACATTTGAAGGACTGGTGTGCCACTCACCATCAGGGGCAGGGCTGTAACCCGACAAGCTCTTGTCTCTACTAGAATTAAAATGTTAAGTCAAATATTGGCTCTTTTTTTGCGCCTCTTAGTAAAACTTAGTAAAAATGGTCTAACATTTGGGTACCAGCATTTAGTTACAAATGTCAAAGGCTTCAGGTGCTGCTTATCTTCTTTTTTTTTCTCCTTAATGTGCTCTTATTTATTTAAAAAAATTATAATATAGGTGCCTGTTTTGTCTATACCGTATACATTGATCATAACTCAAGAGTGCACACTCGTGAAGTTTTCTTATATTGTGCACTGCAGAGAAAAAGCTGTATTGACCATAGTTTGACTTTTGTATTGTTGTAACACATATGTTAAGACATTAATGTGGACTCAGTGCTTTTACTTTACAGGTTGATTGAAATAGGATTCTTAGATGAGATTTAAAAACAGGTCTCTGATTCATGTTATCCCTTGCCCTCATAATGCAGTCAGTTTACTGACTGAGTTGCATTCATCTAACCAGACGGAATTAGGTTGAGAAATTATATATCTTTCATGTGTATGCTAATTTTCTTATTCTGGTCACCATCACTAAGTCTCTGTTAATGTTCTCTTTTTAAATTGAGTCTTTTCCTATCAAGACTCGTTGGGTCATTGTTTTAATTTTGTAAACAGATGGGATGATTTGCAATGTCATATAGTTACTGGAGGGCTGTTTTAAAATCTTTGAGGTATTACCTTAGCTGACTATCTTTACAAAAATATCGAATATACCTTCTAATATGCATAAGATTTAGCAAAAAGTTAAAGGCTGGATTAAATGTCGTTTTCAAATGTTCATATTTTTGTTTGATATTTTCTCTACCTACCATCCACTTACATAGGTACCGGTAACGATTTGGTAGTATTAATTTCGTAGTCATTGCTATCCTTCAATAAATTTATTTTCATTAAATACTTAGTACAGGGTTTTAAAACTTTTTTTAAGTATTATGTGAAATATGGAACATTGCTGTCTTTTATATTAAAGTAATTAAAGAAAATGTAAAAAAAAAAATAGTGAAAGATCCCAAAGCCCACAAATCCCCTCCTTTCTGGGTTCCTGACATTTGTTTATATCATAACTTTTTGAAAAAAAAAATTTCCCTAAATTTTTAAGGGTCATAGATGATTAACAGGTAAAGGGGACCAGTTAGCACATTTCCCCATACTACAATCAAGTAAACAGGAATACTTACCCTATTTACTTAATACGTGTCCTTTCTGTGAGAGTAGGAGATGTCTCTAAAATTTTGTAGTTAGCCGAAACTCTTGCCAAAGTTTAATTTTCCATTTCTGAGTTTGAAAACTATCCAATCTAAATAGAATTGAAAAGTGATAAACCTATATTTTCATCCAATCAATAAAATGTCCTTTAGTATATAAAACTATTTTGCTTGATAGGTTGGATGCTTTGATTTATTATTATTATATTATTAATGGATTACATATAGAACTTTTAAAATCACATGCAAAACTATATTTTACTGAGAGATGTTACATATTAAAGCACTTTGTTGGATCAAGTTGAAGAATATGTATTTCCAACAGCATCAGTTCTTGTTATGCCCATCTTCTCATGGGAAGTGCCAGTTAGAAGTTTTGCATGAACCTCTTCTTATGTAGCCATCTCCTGCTGGAGCAGTCCTTCCTGGGGTCTCCATGGCAATACCACTTTTTGTAGCTTGAAATGAAGGTACTGGTTCTGTTTTATGCTGCACTTCACATTACGCAGTACTAGTCCTAGGCTTTGGGTTATTTTAAGCATCCATTCTGAACCCCAAATTATTCCTAAAGTCATTTGGAGATGGAATGCAAACCCTGCGGATCAGAAAGCTGACTGTGTTCAGGAAGTAGAGAGGCCCCCCAGGTGCTCAGCATACGTCCTGGTGTGTCCACTGGTGGGAACACAGTGGTTGCATCATTACAACAGTCAGGACCATGGCCTTCCATTGTGTGCTGTTACAGAGAGTAAAAGCCTTGACAATTAAGGATCTTCCCATTCAGTGAAACATAGATACGTTGTCATTCCTTCACAGCCACAAACAGCCTCGGCTAAGAGAGGAGTACACATGCAAAGAGGACATGGTAAGCCTTTAGAGCAGTGGAAGAAATTTTAAGAAAGCGTTGGCCTTAGCAGAAATGTCTCCAGGGCTGTAGGGGGTTAAAGAGGGTAAGCTTTAGAATTCATGAGTCACTCCCCCAGTTCTGATGGCTGGGATTTTCTGTTGTAGATCTTCTCAGGGCTGTTGGTCAATCTCAGAACCGTTGTGCCCTGGCTCTCCTGGCTTCAGTACTTGAGCATTCCTCGGTATGACTATGCGGTAAGTTCTCTCCTGTCCCTGTGACTAGTCCATCGTTCCCCAACTGGGACAAGCAGAAGCAGCCTGACCATCACATGTCCCCAGACATGAGCTGTGGAGGTCTCCCAGGGATTTTCTTTTAGGAGCAGTGATGGAGCCTTTCCTGTTAAATCTTGGGCCTCCCTGATGACCACCTGGCTTTCCCCAGTCACCCTGAGGTGTGAGGGAGGTGAAGGGTGGGGAGGTAGATCATAGCGAGGTAGAAAGCATGACGAATTCAAGATAATTGAACAAGATAATTGTATTTTAGTTTTATAAATAAGGAAATGGGAGGATGGGATCTTAGAATATGTTTTTTATATTGAAAGGGAAATTTGAAGAAAAATTAATACCATTTAATATTCAAAGCCACCATTGGCTTTAGAATCTAATCAACTAACCAAAACTATCTGTCTTAATTTAGTATAATTCAGTGTCTAACTCCCAAGAATTATACTTGATTTTGATTAAAACAAAAAAGGATAATACAAAAGATTATTATATAAATAAACAATAGCCATTGAATATCACTGAACCATTTTAATTACAGAATTTATGAGCCTTGTAACATTGGAGAGAGGAAGAGGATAGTGCTGTGGGGTAATATAGCCAGAGGTTTCCCGGCTTGGGGAGGACCACGCCTGCAGGGGAGGGCAGTTGGGGTTGACCAGGCCTGCAGGGGAGCCCCACTGGGGGTGACCGGGCTGGCAGGGGAGGGCAGCTGGGGGCAATTGGGCTGGCAGGGGACAGTTAGGGGGCGGTCAGACTGGCAGGCAAAAGTGGTTAGGGGCAATCTATAAAGAGAAATAGATATCTATACTTTATACACAAAATATACTTAAACAAAATAGCCAAAAATACTAACAGTACCTACTTTTAAAATCAATAGGAATTTAATGATATCCTATCATAAGTATTCTCCCTTTTTATTATAATTATCTTTTTTGTATAATTCTGTTTTTAATTATTTTGTAAAGAAACACGTACATAGATTGAATCATCTTAACCATTTTTAAGGAAGGAATATTTTGAAAAGTATAAGTAAAAACATAAGTTCTATAAAGTAGAAGGAAAATATTAGTTTATTGGTGATCCATTTATTGTTTAATAACATGCTATTTAGCCTCCAAGTGTTTGAAAGTTTTTGAGTTTTTTTATTGTAGCTGATTTCTAGTTTCATGCCATTGTGATCAGAGAAGATATGATTTCAATCTTTTTGAATTTGTCAAGATTTATTTGTCCTAACATGTGGTCTATCTTTGAGAATGTTCCATGTGCATTTGAGAAGAATGTATATTCTGCCTCTTTGGCATGAATTGTTCTATAAATATCAATTAAATTAATCTGATCTAGTGTTTTTGTTTAAGCTCACTGTCCCCTTGTTGATTTTTTTGACTTGAAGATCTATCTAGTGATGTGAGTTGGGTGTTGGAATCCCGTATTATAACTGTATTGCTACCAATATTTCCCTTAAAGTCCACCTAGAGTTTTTTTTAATATTTGTATTTAAGTGTTCCTACGTTGGGTGTGTATATGTTTACAAGTGTTATATTTTCTTTCTTTTTTAAAAAATATATTTTTATTGATTTCAGAGAAAGGGAGAGGGAGAGAGAGATAGAAACATCAATGATGAGAGAATCATAGATCAGCTGTCTTCTGCACGCCCCCCTGTTGGGGATTTAGCCTGCAACCTGGGCATGTACCCTGACCAGGAATTGAGCCATGACCTCCTGGTTCATAGGTTGAAGCTCAAACACTTAGACACATCGGCTGGGCTCATTCAATCTACTTTTAATTCCTTCCAATGTATTCTTGATGTCAGATGTGGTATTCTTCATTTCCAACTGGCTCTGGTTCATGGTTCCTATTTCATTTCTCATCCTGATGTAGTTCCTATTAATTTCCTTGTGATTTTCACTAAGTTCCATGAACATCCTTATAAGCATTGCTCTGAACTCTGTATCTGATAAGTTGCTTGCCTCCATTTCATTTAGCTTGGAACTTCCTCTTTGTTTTTTCCCATTTGGCGGTTGTTTCTTTGTCTCCCCCCCTTTTTTTTGCTGTCTCTTTGTGTTTATTTATATGTATTAGATAGAATTGCTATGCCTCACAGTCTTCATGGGGTGGCCTTGTGTAGTAAGTGTCCTGTTGGACCCAGTGGTGCAATCTCTTTGATCTCCTGAGCTGGATTCTCTAGGAATATCCCTTGTATGGGTTATTTGGTTTCTCCTGTTGTAACTGAGTCTTAATCATTGTCCATTCATGGGTGGGATCTCCCCTTAGGCTGGTTGACCATGTAGGGGTCTATTTGCCTATGCACATCAAAGCCAAATGACACATGAACAAGAGTTTGCATCCAAGAAAGTGAGGATTTATTCATTAAGAAAATGGTGCCATGCCAGGAGTTGTAATAGCTAATGCACAAAGACAGGGCTCCAGAAAAGATAGATTTGATTTATATTTTCAGAGAATTTTATCTCAAAGTAGCAAATATTCTTTTCAAGTGCATGGAACGTTTTCTATACTAGACCACATGTTAGGACACAAGACAAATCTCAATAAATTTAAGAAGATTGAAATCCTATCAAGCATCTTCTTCTCTGACCATAATAGTATGAAACCAGAAATTAATTACAAGAAAACACATGGAGGCTAAGTACCATGTTACTAAACAATGAATAGGTTAACAATGA